AGCACATAAAGACATTGTTGTACACATGATCTATCCCAGCTGATTCAGCTCGTAATAATTTTGTCGTGACATGAACGAAAAGTTTGGGAATTCGAGATGAGTTGGAAACTTCCCAAAGTTCCTAGACAGCGAAATTTAAAAAAAAAAGATAAATATTGTGACGGCTGGGGAGAGGTTATACATTATTCATGTGTTGTTAGCATCTTAAGCTCTACCGCGTTTTTCCTAATTCAATTAGAAGCACATTTTTACAAACGAAATGAGTGTTGCTGGAGTCTTTAGCGCACAATGGAGACAAGAACCAAGAATTGGCGAACAACTTATGACACGCTTGAGTATTTATTTGCAAGTGTTCAAAGACGCAGCATATCTGGGTGGCGTGGGAAGGAGAAAAAAAAGGGCGGGGGGGGGGGGGGGGCAGACAGACTGCTGCCTGCTCTACCTATAAGAGGAGGCTAAACTCTCTGCGAGTAGAAGTGAGTGAAACTCAAAAGCCACAACCTCTCTGTTCAGTGATCGGCAGAGGACAAAAATTAACCCCTACTGTTCACAGCGCGAGGCCCACATGGAAATGACGTATTTCCGTCTCCGTAGAAAATAAAATCATACCCCAGCCACCTACCCAAAACAACAAAACAAAAAGCAACAAAGAAAAAACAACCAAACACAACCAAGCAAATGCTAAACGAACACAAACAAAACCCCCGCGCCCCCACAAAAAAAAGAGTCCACAAACTACAAAACAAAACAAAAATAATATTTAAAAGAGCAACAGCCCACACACAGCAGAAGGAATTTGTCTAAGATAACGACGCACAGACTTGGAGCAAGAGCAGAAACGCACAAAACACAATTCACGGCCATTTGACATTCTGTAATAGAAACGAACTCAAGCTGATTACATCGCTTCCTTAAGAATGCAACAGATTCAATTTGCGAAAAGCGTTATAGCTCCCAGAGCATCGCAACTGCCAAATTTAAAATGGCAAAATGTATTTCTTCTGGAGTATATAATGTTCCTTGAAATACAAACATTTGTTCAAACTTGACGTGTGTGAGAGTTTACAAAGTAAATTAAACCGAAAAGCGAAAGAGCTCAGAAGGGGCTGTTGTTTAGCTGTGAAGTCGCGGAGTGCATTTGGCTTTACCTTGTGTTAAGTGGTCTACTCGGGCGAGAATACAGGCCCAGTTGGCTGACAGAAACGACCGAAGACTGGGAAGCTTTGTAAAGGCCATCATAATAATACTTTTTTTGCACAGTGCATGTCTGCGCGGGTCAAGTACGCTTTTTCTCTTTCTGCATCCACCCCACGCCAATCTCATTTTGTTCAGTTCCTGTCTGGTGTGTTTGTATACACATACGTGCATGAGGGTGTATGAAGAAATTGATTATGAGTGTTCGTGCGCACCTGTGTGTATGTGTTTGTGTGAGTATGTGAGTCTATGTGTGTGTGTGTGTGTGTGTGTGTGTGTGTGTGTGTGTGTGTGTGCGTGCGCGCTTTTAAACTGTTGTTGTTGTTGTTGTTGTTGTTATTATTGTTCATGTTATTGTTATGTTCAGTAACGTTATTACTGTTGCTGCTGTTGTTAATGCAGTACTCTTCAGTTCGAGCTCTTTGACCGAACACCATACTGAAGAGCGTAGACATTTTTGGAAATTGTTTCAAATAGCAGTGCATGGTTTCGTTTGGGTTAGTGTGGAAAGAAAGAATTTTAAACTTGGCATTTAGAGGAAGTTCTTCCCTTCCGCAGTCGCTGTGAAATTGTATTACTCTAATTGTCCTAGAGTTTATACTTCGAAATAGGACCTACAGAGATAAACTAAGCAGTGCAATGTGCAGAGACAAAAGCGGAAGTGCGTTAACTCAAGCCCCCATGCTAATATTTTAAAACTTGATCGGATATTTTGTTGATGGTTTCTAATGGAGCATGAACCTCTTGCTGCGTATACATACCATTTTACATTCTGTTTAAAAATACATCTCGTTTTTTTCAGTTCATAAATGAAAACACCAATACAGACAAACAATTGCGAAGAAAAAACATATAACAAACAAACAAACAAACAATAAAGCACTCTTGATTAATACCTCACATTACTTACTTTCTCAAGCACGCTGTCTAAATATATATGTTATACACATCACCCACTATACGAAAAAAGTGCATAATAATATATCAACATTACTTTAGCAGTTTCTTCCTTTGAAGTAACATTCACGACAATGACAACTCACTACCAAAATGTAGTCAAACGAACGCAGCAATGTCTCTTAAAAATATCCCGTAATAAATAAAAAGGAAGATCGAGACGGTTGACAAATTCTTGGTGCAGGATGACTCTCACTATGCTCGCATGTATCCACGCAAACATTTTTTCCACACTTTCACAAAGATGATTGTCTATTTACTTTTGACAGGTTGGCAACGCTCTGGGCGGGATTTTCAGTGTGTTTGTCCGATGATCGAGAGAGGCAAAAAGACCATAACGTAATGGGTAACAAGATGTTACAATTTTGATCGAAGTGTACAACAATGAAAGACGCTCTTTTCTTCTAAACAGCTTTTAAAAAGCCAAGTATAACCTTGCTTTACATCACGCGCTCAAACTATTTTCATCTTTTCAAGCAAATGCATTCTTCTGGTTTTTAAAAATGGTGGTAATGCATTTAATCTTCTGAACTCAAGGTCGCCGCTGGTTTTATTTGGTTTGAGTAAAACGTCTCTAGAACACAGTGAGGGTTTTGCAAAGGGTGAGGCGGACTTTTCACATATTAAATAAATGATTTTTTTCAAACATCAGCCATGCACCAAGCGAGTCAGGATATAACCAACAGCGAGCTGTCCCAATAACAGGAGGCCCCACTTCCCCTTCGATAGGGCGCAATTTGAAAGCATTGGGGAGGCATCCTCAGTCCCTTTTTATTTTTGCCTTCTGTACAGGTCCCATTCGTGCTGATTTGATAACTGAGGATCCTGTCAATATGAAAGAAATAGACTCTCCAAAAACCGAATAGACCAAGGACTCATGCACACTGTTCACTCAAAAATTCAAATCGGAGCAGCCTGCGCCATTGAACGAATGACGCCCTGTGAAGTCTTATGTGTACTTAAAACACACACACACACACACACACACACACACACACACACACACACACACACACACACACACACACACACACACACACACAAATCCCAAGGAAAGTATTTAGAAATTGACATTAGGACAAATTCAGTATTCTAACATATTTTGTACTCTTTTTTTAAATCCAAAATTCTTCTACTTCTACCTCTCGAAACTTTACTACTCGGTAGAATTTCTTAACTGCAAAAAAGTATGTCCAGAATGTGATTTTCATGCATGTGCAAATGATATTAAGCTACTAAAATCAGAGGACTGATTCATTTGATGTGATCTGAAATCGCCTAAAGCTACTTAGTGCCCATGTACATTGTCCGGGATCAACGATGTGGTCCAGTACTCACACCTTTGAACGATCAGAACTGCAGCGATCGATAATGACACAGCTGTTTAGCAACTTTAATGTTTAGTTTAAATATATCGTTTAAGGAAGGCATTAGCTGATACAAAATAGCCCCTACAACAATAAAACAAAAACAAAACAAAAGCGCCTTTCTCAAGACATTTTTGTGAGATTTACAATGGTGTCATGATTGGCCGAAGAGAAAACTAACCACAGAAAATGCACGCACCTCATGTTATATTACCCATACCTCTCTGTCTTGTGAAGCGCCCCTGCATACTTTGTAATGCATGTTCAACGCCAAAACCACCCAATAATTGGCAAGAAATGTCCACCAGGTGACCAATCATATTATGTTATACTACTCATCCATGAAAAGAAAAAGACACTGCGTGCCCAAAAGCCCTGAATACTTTGTATTTAAAAAAAAATCCCACACAAACCTCGACCTGTTTATCCATTTGTGAGGCAGCGTGGTGAAATCAAGCTCTCGTCAAAGTGATCAAAGTGAAGAAACATTTTTCTGCAGGTTTGTGGATTTTTATCAAATTTTAGTTTTTTGGCTCTACACCTTTCATGCCCATTAAAGAACTCATTTCTGAGTGGGTTTTTCTGAAAAACGTTGGTTAAAGGCACAACAAATGTAACTTTTTAGTTACCACGGACTCTCAAGCTAAGGAAATAACTAATCTTTGGCGGCCATTTTCTCACTAATTTTACCTCTGAAAACAGGGGACCCCCACCTCCTTCATTCACAAATATCTCGACTTGTATTCAAGATAAATGGATATTTTTTTCAACCAAATGAAGACAAAGGAACAAGCTTTCAGATGATACCAATAACTCCACATGCCCAAAAATTGACCAGAGCCCGATTCCACCACGCCGCCTCACATTTATGTTTTGTTTTGACACAAGAAGTACAGGGCAAAAGGCCTTGACTGGGGCCATTGTTCAGCTGTCGGCCCAACTATGTTTCTATCCCTACGTGTACTTTGCTGGATTTGCCCCCCCCCTCCCCCTCTACACAAACCCGTGGCCCCTTCAATTTGGAACATGACACATCTGATGTATGCTCTTGGTTTACAATGAAGAACTCCCCACAACTCAATTTTACACCCTGCAAGTTAAAAATTCTCCTTGTTATTAACGTCAGACTCAAAGACTGAAACCGAATGTTCCCCTCTCTCTCACGCTTCCTTCTCAAAGAAAGGGAATTATTTAAAAATTAAACAACACCCTCATCCCCTTGTATAGATAACTTTCTAGATCACTATGTATGTAAGATAATATCTCGGCCCAAAAGCTTTCACAGCACATGTATAGTGTATATCTAAAGGTGTGTTCATTTACTATTTTTTGATTATGGATCTGGAGGTAGATCTGACGAGAAAAAAACAAATCACATTATTTCACTTATCAAAAATTGGCAGACAAGAGACCTGTCGTTTGCCTTTTCGTAGTTCAGAACACACTTTTTGCCCACAATTTTTGCAACATAATTATCATTACTTTTTTTTTTTTTACAGTACTAGCCCTGTACTTTTTGCAGCACCTCTGAAGAATATAACCCTGAAATGCTGCTATATTTTTCAGAAATTATTAACTCCCTGTTTACAGTTTTGCTTGTTTGAATGGTGCCATTCGGTTAAAGTATAAACAAGTGCCATTAATTTGCGTCTGATTTTGTTTTCATATTTCTTTCCATTGTAAAAAGAAAGCCACGACATTTTAAATACAGAGCTCAGACTGGAGGAAAAAATGGCGCCACAAATTATGACTTCAGCAAATCCTAGGAAATGCATTTTCGGACTGCACCATTTTCACGGTTTGTTTGTTTTTGTTTAGCTTCCCCGGACAAGTGTAAAGGACACAAAAGTCTTTATTTTGAATTGAAATCTTTTACTTAATAAACAATAGCTCAATTCACAAAATGTACGACTTGTTATTTTCTTCTATTAAAGCATGATACATGTATCTTGCTAGCGTTGTTATTCATGTCATTGTGACTGTTGTGGTGGTACTGACCGTGTTAATGTTCTTCAATCCTAACTCACGACTCGAAAACTTTCCCTATAATATTTTAAGTTAGTGGAATACACAACTGCACAATTATACAATATTAGCTTACTATGTTCGCTTTTAAAAACCAACGATGACGTAATAAAATATTACTCGATATACAGTACGAGGTTAGCAAGAATTAATAGCAATGTCCTTCGTGCGACAAAAAGAAAAATCAACACAAAAAACTACGTCTCTGAATGTGTCTGTTCAAAAGTCATTACGCAATTCTGGCTGGACAGCTTTAGAGACCAGGCTTCTTAGACATATTATGATTTATGGTCCCATAATTATGTTATAAATTGTAAGTACTTTTGTAGAAAAACAGTCTTGGTTCTTGAGGTGCGTTTGTTTGGAGTTTAGAGTCAGCACCAATTAAGAACGTTGATGCGTTTATATAGAAGAGTTTAACTGCATGGAAAATTAATAACCATATATTTTGTTGTCATTTGCAAACGCCACTTCTATGAAGATTATACATTTTTGGGGTTAACTGATCTTTAAAAAGTAATTGAATTCGAACAGAGAAAGTCTGGAGTTGATTAATTTGTGCAGTAATTAAATATTTGATTTTTGTAAAGCTTAAAAACTTACTGTGTTCTGCGATACCATACATGTAATATGTACAATTGCAGCTGTGGTGTGAGATACGATCTTTGGGCGTTTCTACGTGGTCTTTGGGTGTTTATCCAATATCAGCACATTTAATGTTGCACGTGTCATGAACCACATTTCCGTTATATTTTGGGGTAGAACTTTCCAGTTTTTTTAGCTTGATCAAAACCTTACCGTCGAGACAGATAAGTAGCGGGATCGACGATATACGTGTACGAAGCCAGACAGGCATTACATCCCAGAACCGCTGAACTTTTACTTTTTTAGTTTACCTTAATGTCCTTTTTCTACATTTTTGCTCTATCTCTTTCAAAGTCACAGTGATACTTCCTGACGTGCGAACACACATACACACTCAAACACACAGACACACTCCCTCCCTCACACACACACACACACACACACACACACACACACTCGCACGCGCGCGAGTGTGTTCATATACATACGCGTGCATTTTACAAACATACACGTACATACACTTACGTACGCACATGCTTGTACAATATGTACATAGCAAACACGATTTGTTCAACTGAATCGTCTGTGGTTATCTCTGGACATTTTTACACATAGTTACACTCATGTGGAGGAGACGTTCTATCGTCAAATCGTAGCACAAGTCGAATCTCTAGCGCGGAACGAAGGCTTTGATACAAAGTTTTCTCCTTTTCATAGCAGTGCGTTGGGGGTACTCACTCACCGTATTGCTTAAGGCAAAATATCAGTCACACATTGTTTTTTGTGAGTTAAAGCATCCAATTACGTGTTTGAAAAATGGAACCAACTGACACATAACTTTTTCCACACCGCCACCAAAGCACTCTAATGGGCTGGTGTCTTTTGTTACATGAGGTTCTCTGGCAAGTTGAAGAACATCAGTGTTTTCTCTTTGCACGCAGGTAGATAAAGAGTTACCAGTGAAGTTTGCTTCGCAGAGTGTTTTGCGTCTTTCAGCGATATTTCTGTCTTTTTATTCAACTCTTTCACCACCATCGGGTGCAGTTTAAGTGCTGGCAAAAGGTGAGCCATACACTTTTGGTTGCAGAAAGACAAACATGTAGAATTAGTTTCCATACTTGTCTCGCCCTACATCGGGGGCACCAACAGGGGCCTTCTGCGACACAACTCAACGCTTCTTCACAACACCATGCTGTGGGTTGCTACGTCATCAAACGGTATAGCGGATATGTAGTCACTGGACGGGTCATGACCTTCTTTTCCCGGAAAGGGCGTCTCTGGAACATCTGAATATGTATCGGGAAACTTTGTCGCTTCCGAGAATCAGCGCCAGTTGAAGAATTGAGAGGTTCACGACCATGGTAGGCGTTGTAAGTCATCCAAACGGTTTCCGTGCAAGCTGAACCTTAGAAACAGCAGGAGTCTAGTCGAACTGTTCCACCTTGAAAAAGTTTCTCCACTGTGGTCCGACGTTGACGGGACTGGTGACGGATGCTCGGTTACAGAAGGTTGTCTCTTCTTCGGAGGCATCCGAGTCGAGAAAATCAAGAAATCTGTTGTGAGAGAAGAAGCAAAACAAAAATGAATTCATTAGGAAGAGGTGAATGACGGACTGAAATAGAGTTAATAAGCGATAAGAAGCACACATAACAAAGCATTAATTAGTCCAGTGCCTCATTATTGAGGTTTAATCCCCCATAAAAAGACTGAGCATTTGGACGAGGCAAATATAGTATAGAAATTGAAATTACAAATTAAAAACTAATTCGAAGGTTATTACTTCAGAGAGCAGAGTTACTTATAAAAAATCAAAGTGACATTGGAGTAAGGACTTTCAAAAAACCAATATAACAAAATATATCATGCTGGTGAAAATAAAATAGTCCATCATTATTTATGGCTGGGTCACTTGGGCATATATCGAAAAAGTGATACCCACATAAAAAATAATTCGAATAGAGCATTTAGTTTATATTGAATAATTGCAGAATAAACTAAGGCCAAGAAAAATGCAAAGTGAAAAGATCTTATCTTGAAATAAATGTCGTTCTCGGGAAACGTTTACACAAGAACCAGAAACAGAAGATGAATATACACGTCGATACAAGACTGCACCACAACAGCAATATTTGAAGCACACAGTTCAGTCCCTTACGATAGTGACAAATCCTTCTTATTAAGTCGTCTAAATGAACTTGAGATACTATTTCTCATAAATCTGAGACAATCGCAAAAATCTTATTAAATATCTTATTTCTAGCCACTTCCTGGCAATTGTGATAAAAAAAACCCTCCAAATAACAAGATACCTTCCGAGTATTTATTAAAACATACACAGAATGCTTTTCTTTCTCTCTC